TAGCGTAACAGTAATTCCAGCTTTTCTTCTAAATCTGCCTGCATGTGACTTTTTCATGTTTTGGTGCAACTTGGACTTTTGTCTTTCATTTCATGAAAAAATGACATGATTGCCGACCATTGACGAAATGTCATCAAATAGAACTAATGATAAAAACCAAAATAGAAGTTGATGCCGTTAATAAAAGAAAACAATCATAAATATACCACAAATATACAGGCACACATAAACGAGGTCATAAAGGACAATAAATAGCATTTATTATTGATTCATAGTTATATAAGTAGTTATCAATAATGTGAATATTCAAAAGTAAACGTCTTGTTTTTTAGCTTTTACGGAATTTAACATTTTCTCTATTTTTTTTTTGGCAGGAGAATTATTTGATGTAGACGTGGTGGTTCTTATTTTTTATCTAAGCAAGTCTGTGTTTCTCATTACTCTCTTAGAGTCACAATTCTGCAATTAAATTTGGAGTAATGTTCATTTAGGAGAAAAACTAGTTCATCTGGCAGCTACTAGTGAAATTGGGAAAATAAACGATTCAAACTAATTCAGTATTATTCTAATTATATCATAATAACAATTTAAGCGTTTTGCAATACACATTGTTACAATCTATGCTTCGTTTTGCTGGTATTACAAAATATAATTTCTTTACAATACTATGAAAAATGTGCTGCATGCTACTTCAAACTCTTGTACAACAATTTCTGCCAACGTTCAATGCTAATCTGTAAGTCGCTTTCTGCTACGCCCTCTGACACAGAAACTATGAACTTGTATTATTTATCACCAAAAAAGAACCATTGTAAACCACTGTAAAGGCTGAGGTTGGCATTCAGAAATGTGAAAAACCTATCAAGTCTCATTTAGTACGGCATACCAGAAGCGTCTTACAGATTTCAGATATGCCTCAAAATACTTTATCACGTAGCACACAGTATACGTACAGTGATTAAAAAAATATCGATCATTCAATACCAAACATGTGATTTGTAAAATAGCGATAGCATTTCTGTTTCCATTTTAAGCAACCACAACATTTACTTACATCTTGAACTACATCGATCACATCTTACGTGACTACAAAATTATGATTCTTTGAACAAGTGGTCAGTCGAACAGGAATAGTTTCCACAATCATCTTCACCGTCGTAAACTTTTATGGTATGTTTTTGGTAAGGTCAAAAGAAAGTTGTTTTTTTTTTCACTAATCTTGTTCGATGACCAGATGCAAAGAACATGATTGTATGACATGTCGCTTATTATCAACTGTATCTCATACTATCATTCGATACTTCAACTACGTCAAAATAGTTTTTTATTCAAATCTAGTATCCAAATAGTTCGTACTCATAGCACTCCAACGAGGGTACCGTTAGTGTTTGTTTCTATAATTCAACTGACTTTAATCGGAGCTCTGAAAATCCAGAAGTTTCATACAACTTTTTATACTGGGGTTTGAAAGACCTGACCGAAAAATGAGTGAATCTGTGTCAAGATATAGAAGCGAAATGCACTAGTTTCTACGTAGGAGGACAAAATTAAACGTAGCCTTTAAAAAAACAGTAATCGTTCAAAATTGTTACACTATACAGGGTAATGTTTGAAAACTGCCCACCATGGATTTATGTTTATAATTTGAAACGGAAAGTACCAACATAAACAGCGATTAATGGTAATACCATTCATTGAAACCATTGAAAACCAATTCGAAGAGGATGGAAACCCTGTGCTTGATGAGGCTGAGATATATTTTCAGCAAGACGGCGCTCCTCCTCACTATGTTCTTCCGGTTCGGCAATGACTAAACGATGAGTTTCCAGATAAATGGATAGGGCGAAGAGGGTGTATAGGATGGCCTGCTCGAACTCCTGATCATCTGAACAAATTTATATAAATAAAGACTTTTTTAATTTTCTTGAAAACGAATCTATCGATTTTAAAAAATCAGTCGTCAAAATAAAGGACTTCAAAAGACCTTTCAAACAAGCTATCACCCCTTGTTATTCAACGTTTTCAAGGGGATGACACTGGGGGGCATACGGTGAAAGAGGGTGAGGTAGTTTTTGGTTAAAAAGTTGTCCCCCGTGACAAACGTTCTTGTCTCGGCCTTTATTCTTTTAACCAGTGGTTTTCTATAAATCCGTGCTGGTTTTCAAATGATGTATCTACACAACTCTTACAACATTATGATATTTTTTAAACCCATCATACTAAAAACTTTTCGGACTTAGATCGAATCAATTGCAAAAGACGTTTATTTGCAACTCCTCGTTTGTTGTGCCGTGTTGTCCACCAAGTGCTTCTTTGAGTGGTCCAGGCGTGTGGAGGTCACCCTACACATGATAAAAGGGTACTCCTTTCAAGCTATGGGAACAATCGGCGTTGAATTTTGAAGGTACGAACATTATCATTGATGGAAATGCAGATAACCTCGTGTTCACATTTTTATGATACCATCACATTTCAGACGCCCCCTTTTACTTTTATAAATACAGGTCCGCAAAGCTGGGGGTTTCCTTTTCATACACAACCTCGCTTTTTACAGGGCGTTAGAGAAATAATATTCGTAACTTTAAGAGGCGATTCCTTGCATTATTCTAAGCAAAAAGTTCATTATAAGCTATGTCCAAAAATCAACCGTGTCGGAGCAAAAAAATGCTGAACTTATTTCTTTTTTACTGTCTCTAACAAAATAATTTTCTTGCTTATTAAATACAATTTTCCGAAGAAAAACGAACAAAACAAAATTCCTCATACAACCGGCAACGTCGTACTCCGCCTGCACTGCATGTATCATCGCGTGTTGTTGTGATTAATAATACATTTAACTGTAACTTTTTGTGATTTACGGATGTTGGTTTTTTCTTTTCTCGTGTATCGCATCATTTCAAATAAGTAACTGATAATCGTGGGAATTGGTGGTGGTTATCGCCATGTACCGGTAAGTTCTGTCAGTTTTTTTTAAGTAAATGTACATGAAAGCGTTAATAAATAAAAAATATTAGCCACAAAAAATTGTGTAAAAGTATTGAATAATTCAAGGCATATTTTCAATAAAAATATCATACAAACGTAAACAATTTGATGAATTAGTTACGGTCTTCGTGCGCTCGTATCGCAGTTGCGTTGCAGCGTTGCCAAATGTTTGAGAAAATGTAATTATTTACGACTCACTTTACTCGAAAACGATTGATTTTCGGACATAAATTATAATGAACTTTTTTCTTAAAATAATGCAAGGAATCACATCTTAAAGTTACGAATATTGTTTCCCAAACACCCTGTATAACAAAGCTAAAGTGTGGTGGAACGTGAGCGGATAAGTAAAAAAATAAATGAAGAAGTACTCACTGTTCAGTTGAATTAAAATTCCAAATACGGCTCTGTCGTAAAATCCGTATTTACATCGTAGTCGTACGTCGTATAACTGTACGCTGGCGCTGTGGACGAGATCGAGCGATAGGACAGGGCCGGCTTCGGTTTGGTTCAGGTTCAGGTTGAGTTTGCGAAGCCCAATATATCGGTTCTTTTAAGACATCCGATCATTTTCTCAAAATCTACACGTCGTGTAAACCCCATTTATATTTGATTCGCCTCCGTAATAACTTTCGTAGCTACGATGTCAGATTAAACACTGCGTTCCTTTTTGAAGTGCGATGACTTTTGTTATTCTCCAGGTCCCCACAAGGCACACCCTAAAACATGACTTCCTTACTGAGCTCCTATTATTGCCAAACATTGCTTCTTATTCAGCTTAAAACGATTTGTTTTCTTAGCTCTACCCTAACACTTACCTTAAAACTTACATACAAAACGAGTAATGCTTGGGAATACTTTGATATACTTGGGATATGTGCGGAATGTTTTGTATTTGCCGATTTTAGAGCGTGCCTTGACAGAACCACGACCTTACGATAGTAATCCCAAAAGAATGATCTCCGATTAAAGTATTTAATTCTGATACTTCGCTTAAATGGCGATTATCTAGAAAAATAGTCTAATGTTTAAGCTTGGTAATGAAGGAAATAGAGATAGGAGACCGTATTTTCAGGATTACCCTCGTAACAAGCCCAAACGTCTTATGGAAGTGAAGGGTGACATTTATAAGTAACTATTGAGATTTGGATACGAATATTCCCCTAAAATATCCACTTTTAGTATGTGGACGTTCTAAAAATATGTTCTATAAGTATATAAGCATAATATTTATTCAGGCAATAAGTATTTCTGCCCTGATTCGAAGTAAAACTGTGATAAAAATCCAGGAAAAGTCTGGTTACTTTGCAAATGCTTCAATATGAAGTATATCATTCTATTAAGGTATATAAATATAATTCTATAATTACGTTAGTAGTGTATATCATTATCTTTCAAATAACTTTATGAAAAATGAATTACAAGCTTTTCAACAACTTTTCAGCCTTGAGAAATCTTTGAAGCTGAAAAAAAGTTGTTGTTGACTGACGTATTCGATCAGCATCTAAAATTTACACCCAAATATCATTTGACAAAACCTTGCGCGGTTATTCTTAACGTTACGGATATTCAAAAAGTTTTTGTGCCATCAGCAGCGGAACTAGTCATTGTTTGCTTTCGACTTTAATTCGTGATAAAGCAATCATAATCAGGCATCAGCACAGGGTGTCTCATTACGTTTTTCTTTTCTTAAATATTGCAAATATTCGAATAATGGGTAACATTTTCAAAAAAGCATGAATAAAATCAGCTAAACATAGAATAGAAAATAATTTTTAATTACAAAGAGTTTACAGTAGTAGATGGTCGAACAATCAATCATAATTAATGACCTCAAAATAAAATTATAATAAAATTTGAGCTAGTCTTATCATTTCATTTAAAGTTAAGTTTTCAAGAAAAGCAAAGATTTTTCGAAGATAAAAAGTGATAACAACAAATGTAATCACTTGTTTCATTCTTCTATAAAAGAGGAATATTCACACACAATTTCATAGCTGTGCTCATATTTGTTGACAAGTTCCGATGGAAGAAAGAATGCTCAATAAAATGCACAAAAACGGTACGTTGCAAAAAATTACCATGATATGGCTTGAAATATTAAGATCATTATTATGAATTTCAATGAGACACCCTTTGCTTTCTCAAATATTTCTAAGACATCTTATGCTTCCTATACAAATCCAAAAATACTCTCAAAAACCTTATACGGAAACACGAATGCATTGGAAGTTTCCCAAAGATACGATTCTATAAGACGTTAGGGCAAAATCCACTACTTATAAGTATTAAAAACGTTACAATAATAGTTACATCGTTGTTTCTACGCAATATATCGATTGTAATAATAGTAAACTGTGGATATAGCAGTTTGGCTACGAGTGAAAAAATAAGTGTTATCTTTGCAATCGTTTCGAGATACTATAATTTGTGACCCATGTTGATTTGAGGTGCTTTGTAGATTAAGGTAATCTATCACAGTTTCCTGACTATAACATTTCTACGTATATGGTGATTTTCTCATATTACAGGAAGAAGCATCACAAAATTTAGTCAATGTGAAAACCAAAACCGTTTGATAGTCAAGTTTGTTACCCTACAACGTTAATCAAGAGGTCACCAAATTAAACAATTTTCAAGCAAATTAAAAGAAGCTTAGGGTTTTTTGGATGATTCTGAAAAAAAACCTTAAACGTCTCTAAAGAGTTTTTTTAAGAAATTTAAAGTCTAGAAATGGATAAGAATCATAATTTTTGAAGTTGTCAAGTGTCTAGATTCAAACCCAGGCCTGCAAGATCCCGAATAATATTTCGTGCTTAATTCATTTTAAAGCACTGTTATTTAATTTTATGTCGGCCAAGCGCGTCCTATATAGCGTATAGTTCATGTAACAATAGCAAATTTTTTTAGTAACATACATACCGGAACTTTAAGACATTCAAGCTATTAAGATTAGCTCTGTTTATTTACAATTGGATTTGAAAAACATTCTAACAGCAGTGACAATTTGATCCTGGTTTACGGTGAGTGTATTCAAGATCCTATTGCTGCTCAGAGTGTGTATTAAAATAGTTTTCCTGGATGTTTTCATCCCGAGACGCATAGGTTTGTTTATATCGTACAAAGGCCGTCGAAATGGACAAGTTACTGAACCTGGATTTCTGAATCGAACAGCGACAACCTCAACAAAACGTAGCTTTTTCTCTCACTTCAGATCTGCGTATAGAAGCTAAAGGGATCGTTTGAACTTTAGCCTAAAGGTGAAATTCACGTTTATACTTTGCCTTTTACAGTACAGTGTCTCTTCTATTTTCTTAATAAATTAATCCTGCTATTTCACCTATAAGAGATTCGATATACTATTTTAAAGACTCAGGAAAATTACTATCTACTAGCACCCCAAAAAGCGCAGTTGTTAAAGTTTTGAAAGCGGTTACAGATATCTTTGTCTCAAAAATGCATCCTGTGCTACATCTAGTTTTAAATATACCTATTCTCATGTCTTTTCGAGATATTTACTTGACTCAATGCAATTTGCCAAATTTTTCAATAAAATCTGGATTTTTCTGTAAAATCAAATTTATCTATCGGCAATTTGGTAAAACACTGAGTCAAATTTTTCTAATCTAAAAGCATCACAACTGTACCAATCAAGAAATAATTCACTGCACTTAGCACCCACGAATCTAAAAAAATCACTATTTCACGACAAGGTTTAAAAGTGTTGGCTCAAGTTTTTTCTCGAAATTAAGTATAAACGCGGTCAAAAATTGTATGACTAAAATAGATGCTAAGTAACAGTGGATTCTTACAGCCATATTGAAAATTTTCCAACAACCAGCACCATTCCTTATCAAAATCTATTCTATCACTTTCCAAATTTTTATTAGCTACGATGTTCCTTAAAGCTAAACGTCGATATCTAAAAAATTACTTTTCTGCACGTGTTCGTTTTCAAAAATATCGTGTTTCTCACAAGTGATCTGAACTCTTACAGCTATTCACACGGCAAAGGTAACTTAAACATTTGGCAGTGTTACCCTTGCAATTATATTTTCGACTATTTGTCAAAAACTAAAAACGGAAATTTTATCCGGTATTGACGTTTGTTTCCTAAGAAATATCTCACTCGATTTGCGATCTAGCAATGTTGTTGCTGTAAGAGTCCAGTAGAAACGGTCAAGTACATTAAACCTAGGTATCTTTTTTTAGATCTTTTTTTCAACTTCCTGTTTGCAGCAGTATTCTAAATCCTTTTCATCTGATAATTTCATGTTGTGTATAGAGATGACTAGAAAACAACGTTTTCATTTTTTTTTTGTAAATAATGCATTTTTGTACATTTTATTGAACATCATTTTTTCCATCGGAACTTGTCAACAAATATGTGTACAGCTCTGAAATTGTGTGCGAATATTCCTCTTCAATGGAACAATTAAACAAGTGATTACTTTTGTTCTTACCACTTATGCTTTTCGAAAAATCTTTGCTTTTCTTGGAAACTCAACTTGCTGTGAGGCGGAACTTCAAGAAAACCAGATATTATTTTAAAAGGAAAAGTGATAAGAACAAAAATATTCACTTGCATCATTCTGCCATAAAATGGGAATATTCACACACAATTTGAGAGCTGTACTTATATCTGTTGACAAGTTCCGCTGGAAGAAAGAATGCACAATAAAATGCACAAAAATGCGCTTTTCGACAAGCAAAAATGAAAACCTAGCATGAAATTATCAAATGAAAATTTTCTTGACACCTCGTCTCGCAGCAAAATGAATTTTCAAGACAATCAAAGATTTTTCGAAAAGTATAAGTGATAAGAACAAAAGTAATCACTTGTTTCATGCTTCCATGAAAGAGGAATATTCACACACACATTCAGAGCTGTGCTCATATTTGTTGACGAGTTCCGATGGCAGAAAGAATGCACAATAAAATGCACAGAATGCATTTTTTGACAAACAAAAATTAAAACAGTCATACCTATTCAGACCATGAAATTATCAGATGAAAACTTTCTTGAAGCTTCGTTTCACAGTTGAGTTTTCAAGAAAAGCAAAGATTTTTCGAAAAGGAAAAGTGATAAGAACAAAAGTAATCACTTGTTTCATTCTTCTGTAAAAGACGAATATTCACACACAATTTAAGAGCTGTACTTATATTTGTTAACAAGTTCTAATGGAAGAAAGAACGCACAAAAATGCATTTTTTGACAGACATTGTTTTTTAGTCATCTCTATACACACCGTGAAATTATCAGATAAAAAGGATTTACTGCTGCAAACAGGAAGTTGAAAAGAAATCTAAAAAAGAGACGTGCCACCTCAAGGTAGCACAAAAAGTAAATACATTATAAAAAATTATATTGCATTTTCATTTTCACATGTTCCTCATATCGTATCGATTTATTTGCTGCTAAGACATATCATTATCATCTACTGTGTCTTACATACAACAAGTGATATTCAGGTTTGATTTTTCTGTGGAGCCGCGGAAACTAAAATTTGCGAATCGTACCAAAACGAAGGTATTTTTAATAAATATGGTCGGTTTCTTGTAAAACATCCCTCAAATTAGAGAAAAGTTATACGATTTGTGTAGGTTGCCTCCCCAATCATTTGCACCTGAGCACAAAATTTGAGACCCATAGACAAAAGAAGCGTTTGCATCATAGTCACATTGAAAATATGAGGTCTGTAAATTAAGTGATGAAACTGGCAACGTTGCGTTCGATCTGGCAACATTGAAGGTGCCGGGCTCGCAGGGGAGACAGGGAAACATGTGATCCGCCTTCAGTACAAGTTTGAACTCTCTCGAGTTATTTGGTTGACCGTAGCGATTTGTTTTGTAAAAGAAGCAGAAAAATAACGAAACCAAAACATATCCTTCATAACTTTAGATCGTATCTGTAATTCATATCGCTTCACTGAATTCCTCCTTTCTCTAAAAACATTGACATAATCTTTTGCTCGTCTTCGGCCAAAGAACTCTTACTTCCGCCTCTAGACGGCGAACGTTACCAAAGAGCTCACAGTTTAGCACATAGACGACAAATGTGTTCCAAGTGCACGTGATGGCCCAAAAGCCATTTCCAGGCTGGATTTAGACTCCCGTATAGGAGACTGCAAATTCGTGCACGGGAGTTTTTGGTTGAGGAGTTGTTGTTGTAGAAATGTGACGATTTTCGTGTACTGGTTGAGGAGGACATCATGGCGACCGTTTCGTAGTATCTCAGCCTCCCACAGCATTTTCTGCACTTGATTATAGCTACAGAACCTACGAAAATATTGATATTTTCAGGAAAAATCATCTATAAGTGCAAGTACCGGGTCCGGAACGTGTGATCCGCCTTCAGTACAAGTTTGAACTCGGTCGAGTCATTTGGTTGTCGGTAGCGATTTTTTTTTTTTTGTAAAGTAAAAACATTCCTGTTGCCCCTCAGCCTCCAAATTCGCCTGAGTTGAGTCCCTGTGACTTTTTTCTCGCCCCGAAGTCCAGGGAACTTATTTTAAGATAGTCTTAAGCATTCAAAAAGCTTTAACCGACCAGCTGAAGGCTAGTTCAGCACTGCTATGAAGAGTGGAAAAACCGTCTCCAGCGCTGACTAGCTTCAGGACGAAGTTATTTTGAGGGGGAAAATATGAAATTGTAATAATTTGAATAAAATAATTGCATCACTCAATTTACAGACCTCGTAAGTGTTACTACTTTTCTTCTTTTCGATTGGTGAAATTTGTGCCTGGGTCACAAAGTTTGTTTTGTTTGAGAGACATTTTGCAAGAAATCAACCATATCCATTCAAAAAAGCATTCTCATTGGTCGAATTTGTTCCATAGACGCAAATTTTGATTCTTGCGGATCAATAGTAAAATCGTACCTTAATGTCGTTTCTATCCCTATACACCTAAATCTCGAACTAAAAGTCACCTGCAATACATCTTTGTGTGTCTTTAAAAGACATTCTATCTAGGATATACCAATATTATTTCTCTACGATATCCATCTACCTACTTATATTTCCCGTACATTAGATTAGCATAAAAGCACTTTACATGAATTTTATTTCAACCATTGATAAAGATGTTTCAGCGATGTCCCAGATCACTGTAACTTAAATGTTAGATAGTTTAGGATATGTGCAATTATCTATAGATTTAAGCGTTTGTTGTTCACGTAAAAAATTAAACTTGTAAGTTTCTGCTAACCTAATGTAGCATCTTACCTTACTTGTGCCTTAATAGCTAGTCACATTGCAAAACCAAATCGTTGCAGAATCTGCGCGAACTTATCAAAATACAGTGATAGAAATAAGAACACCTAAACCAAGCAACGCTCCTCACAGTTACTGATTCGTCCATCTCAGAGTAAACTTATAACTTTACAGTAAGCCTTGTTTCCAATACATTTAATAATACCTTCTAACAGCTCTGGTACGCCATAATTTTCTTTTGAGTCGGCGACGTTTTGTGACCAATTAGTGACCAAGTCTGGAACAGCGTTCGTGAAATCGACGTTTCCATGACGTAATAATAACGTACTTGAAGCCTGCCACGTTAATTTAATGTCCTTATAACGTCCTCCAGCTACAACTATTAAAATTGTGTTTTTTGAATTGCAGAGTTCAGTTTGATGTGAATTTTGGACATACTGTATATTTCCCTGAGATGACGTCATAACTGTTCGTTTCTTGTATCTACAAAGAGGTCTGCCTTTATCGAGGATCCGAATAGTGGAAAAATATAGTACACAGGGTAATCGTGAATATTATAAGACACTCTCCAGGTGATGCTGAACAAAATACAGTGGTCAAACAGTTAAAGCTTATATTTACCACAAGCTTGTTCAAGGTTCTAAAAAAAGTAAAAAATATTATCAGAGAAAATACACTCAGGTACTAAAAATCGTACTTGAGGACAGATCTGGCGAGTTCAATATATTTAGAGTTTGTGGGATAGCGAGTGTCAATTGGTTCAAAATTTTTATACGGTTCTAGTAATTCATTCTTTTTATTTGTTTGTGGGTATATTTGAGAGATTCTGTTGCCTTGCCAATCCTCCAGTAAGACCCTCAAATACCCGTAAGATAAAAACGAAAAAGAATGGGAACTCCTTACATACAGAGTAAGTATTCATTTTTCTGCCTTAGGTTTCCATTTAGCATGTGATTTTTTTGACAATATTATTGTCGAGACATAACATTTAACCTACATACCTCACAACTAGGTTTTAAGGAAGCGTGTATTTATCTTATGGAAAATCGACTCAAACGCCATTTTAGCTCCCACGCATTGTTTTGGTATTCTGTAAAAACGAAATAAGTCGAAAAATTTTGGAATAGATGCAAAATGTCAGTACCATTTTTTGTCATCGCATATTAGCCTGAAAATATTATTTCTAGCTTATTCTTTCTCATTGAAGGTCTTTTCTATTAAAAAAATACCAGCTGGGATTTTGTATAAAAATATTAGTTTTCTATTAAAATTAGGCATTTTCTACTGAAAAAATGCTAGCTGCGATTTCATATCAGAAAAATTCTAATATTCCTGGGCTATTGATCCGCTATAACAAAGGAAAATTAAGCATTTTTTTACTGAAAAAAATGTTATCTGTGATCCTATATCAGAAAAAAACTAATATTCCCGAGCAACAGCACGGAGAAATTAGGCCTTTTCTGCTGCGATTTCAAATCAGAAAAAGTCTAATATTCCTTGGCTATTGATCCGCTATAACACAGGAAAATTATGCATTTTTTTACTGAAAAAGATGTTGGGTGTGAAAAAAGATAGTATTCCTGGGCTGTTAATGAGCAACAGCACAGGAAAATTAGGCTTTTTCTGCTGAAAAAATGTCAGCTCCGATTTTATATCAGAAAAAGACTAATATTCCTGGGCTGTTGATCCGCCATAACACAGGAATACTAGACATTTTCTACTGAAAAAAATGTTGGCTGCAAATACTAACAAAACCAAAACTTATCCTTTATAACTCTAGATCATATCTCTAATTCATATCGTTTTACTGAATTCAATTTTCCATAAGATTAGTACAGCACTGATTCCTTACTCTAAAAACATTGACATAATTATTCTTTTGCTCGTCGTCGGCCAAAGAACTCTTACTTCCGCCCCTAGACGGCGAACGTTACCAAAGAGCTCACAGTTGAGCGCATAGACGACAAATGTGTTCTAAGTGCATGTGAGGGTCCAAAAGCCGTTTCCAGGCTGGACTTAGACTCCCGTGTTGTTGTAGATGTAGGAGACTGCGAAGTCGTGCACGGGAGGGATCTTTTTGGTTGAGGAGTTGTTGTTGTAGAAATGTGACGATTTTCGTGTACTGGTTGAGGAGGACATCATGGCGACCGTTTCGTAGTATCTCAGCCTCCCGCAGCATTTTCTGCTCTTGATTATAGCTACAAAACCTACGAAAATATAGATATTTTCAAGGAAAAATCATCTATGAGTGCAAGTACTCTAACAATGTTGCTTTATGTTTATCCAAAATAACAACTACAAAAATGCATAATTCTGTTGTGTTTACTTTCATTGGAATACTCATCGAAAGTACTGACAGCAAACAACATTTGATCTTTTTGTGTCGTCAGACATAGCAAATTCTGTCGGAGGCCATAGAGAGCGTTACCTTTTCTATATTTCTTGTTGAAGAAGGCATACAAAATTGGGTTGATGCAGGAGTTAGATGCTCCCAGCCATTGAGCGACGGGTGTGGCGATGGATAGTATGTCATCTTCCCATGGCTCTATTTCGCCTCCCAATTTGATCCTGGCAAAGATGGCGTACAGGGGCAGCCATGAAATCACGAACAGGATGACGACAGCAACGAGCATCTTGATCACTTTTACTTTGGATTTCTACAGTAAAACATGCGTTAGTATCCTAGTGCTTATAAAGCTAAGAAAGGTAACAAGTCAAAGGGAGGTGTCGGATAGGTCAAAAGTGGTAGGTCGAAAGCAACTCAACACTATATAGATATTTTTGTAAGAAACTGTTAGCAAATGTTAGGCATTGCAAGTAACATGGGTCTCCGAAAATGATGCAGTAAATTGAAGAGTGACTATCTTGCAATACCTAGCAACAAAGATAATACAGAATAAAGTGAACCATAAGCGAATTAAGGTATTCCACTAAGGGGAAAGAACCCATAAGGTTGCAAATTTATTACACTGATTATAGGTCACAGCTCACAGACCAATGTTCAAAAGTCCCAAGTCACAACGCGAGCAGGTTTCACAGCTGTTAAAGATATAACAGGCGTCATGGGCTTCAAAGGCTTTACAGAAGCCACAGATTTCAAACGTGTTAGCTGTTATGGTACTAGTATAGAAAACGGGTTTGATTTGAATAAATATTTCTGTACGGAAATTGAAAATTCTATACCTGCTGCATATTCTTCATCTGAGCATCCTTGGTATCGGTCGGGATGTCTCTCTTCCACACCTTGATGAAGATGAGCACATAGCACATGCTGATCAGGATCATGGGGAAGATGTAGCAGAAGAGCAGATTGGCAGTGAGGAAATAGAGGGAGCCATTGGCAGGTTCGGGCCACACCTCTATGCACAGTTGTACGCTGGGCATGTCGCTGAAGATGATTACCAGGTCGAAGTAGAGCGCCCATGGGATGGTGGTGGTCAGGGCCACGAACCAGATGAACATTATGATGGATTTGGCGCGCTTTTTTGTTATCTGGCATTTCAGGGGCCACCAAATTGCCAAAAATCTAGAAACGGCGGAGAAGAGTGGTTATAACTCAACAATTAGGAGACCTTAGTGTCGAATGCGTAATCGTTCCGTTACTTATCTACCTTCAAAGAAGGTGATCTTGTTTGATAAGAGAGCATAGTCTTCAATTCCAAGGATTCGGAAAAGTTCCTGAACCCCACGATAAGATAACTATATTAAAAAACTAAACTCTTCGATTGATAGGAGTTTTCATCGGTTTTCTAACGGAACCCTTCGATTTGACCTTGACGATGACCTTCAAGGTTATTAGAAGGTTAAGTTTTTTTTTTATTTTAAAGAACCCTTCATTTTTGACACGGTACATGAAAAGAGCAGAAAATTACATTCAAATATGGTCTTGAACATTCTCATACTTTAACCTTCGGTCCGGTATTCGAATGGGGAAACCACCGAGATATTATTTTCTTGATCTTTGCTCGGATGGTGACCTTGAATATGACGTTAACAATAATTATCTCAAAGCGACGTGAAGATCTAGTCGATTTTTGTAACCAGGAAACAATCCTGAAAGAACAGATGGGGGTCTACACAGTTTTCTGAATTATCTAGAAATTAAGGTAAACTTGTGTTTGACCTTAATGGTCAAGTTTCAAAAATGGTCAAGAACGTATTCGAACATGGCGGTTTTCCTTTTCTCCATTCGCGCGGTCACAAATATTGGGTCCCATTAAAAAAGAGGGTTGTACTTCAAATTACCTTGTAGGTCAAGTCTAAGGTCAGATCCCAGGTCACCATTAATTATCCGGACAAAAATCATAATGTCTACGAACTACTGGCTTTCAAGTCATATCACTGTAGCTGGGTTTGACCTTGGTCATGACGTCCTATGATCCAAGTTTAAGAATGCTCAAGACGGAGGAAAAAAATACCTTCAATACCTTGACCCGATGTTACGCTGCTGAAGTGCCCCAACAAGCATCTGTATTATATAGTATGTACGCTTCGTTTTGCCCAAAATTCGGAGGGTCATTTATCACAGATGTGTCAGGGACACGTCGTCGCTTAGATCATCTCACATGTTTTATTTACACTATTTTGTAACATACGCTGTTCTGATAGATATTTCCGTAGAATGCTATATCCAGTAATGGACATGATTGATATATAGTATATTCACTGAATCAAAACAGTTACGTCACAATGTCAAATAATGACAGTGACGCACATAGTTGCCAAATCAATTAAGACTACTAGATCCTAGGACGGCTTACAAAATCTACTTTATGTCTTCGATGCCTTACCTTATAGCAATAAATTTTGTACAATATGTAGTGATAGTCACGTAACTTTTTTTACTATTTTGATCACTTACTGGTAATTTGAATTCCTCTTTATTAATGGTAGAGTGCCAAACCCCTTTCAATGATTTTCTTTTGGTCAATTTCATAGTTTATTGACACAAACTCAATGGCTTTTCTCCGTTACTTGGTACCCTATCGAGCATACCTTCTCCAAAGCCACTCATTGAACCTTCTTTTAAAGAGTAAGATGTTTCGTGTCAGTAACTGTCCTCCTGAGATTGTGGTGTGAGTGCCATTTGTTCAACCTCCAAATTCTGAGATACTAGGTGTCGAACATCAGTTTGTGGCGTAGTACCCCTTCATATAGTACCTTACGTCTAGTTGTTTTGGTTTGGGTGCTACCCGGTCCATTTTCTCATGGGATTTTAATCTTCAGCGTACGGAGAACCACCATTCTCTCCTCCTGCTTTGCTTGTAGCTGTTTTGCAGCTGGTATTGCCAGTCGCCTCAGCATGTCATTGTTTGAAAATGAGCAACCTCTAGGAAAATTTCAATCAATGAACTCAATTATGAGAAAGACGAACCTAGGATATCTGTATTTCACTGTTTTTACACGTAGCCAGTTATATGCACTAGCTAACTATAAACATGTTTTGCTACGAACCGTGAAATATTTAATTAACATGAGTCCACCATTTATCAACCCAAACCTGACCTTGTCCATTCTCCCAGGAAAATAGAATTCGGGTCAAGAGTACATCCACCGCAAAAACATCTATTCATTATTATCTAATCTTTCACGCTTTTTCCTCTCGCTTAGCCTTCACCAATCAATTCGCCGTATCTAAAGGGCACAACGATAAAAAATCCGAAAATGTCTCCAATGAAGAGACGATCTTTCTTGGGTTATATGCTGATAAAGACCCATTTCTAACGCTGAAGATGTAAACATGATTAATATATGTATGAGATGGACCGTTTCTAAGCCTACAAAGGATGACATCCTTGCCAGGTTTTTGTTAGGTCTAGGGAAGAATATATAGGAAGGTCAAGCTTATTCATGTGTGCATCTTTGTTGGTAGTTTTTCCTGGAAGTGTATTTTTCTGGGTAGGATTTATTGCCCATAGGAGGAAATGTTAATATAAGGAGGCTTTTATGCCTAGTATTCCTATCTATTAACGACTTTTCTCAGCAACGTTTTTCCAACATCCACACTGCGTAGCAAACCACAGCGAAAAAAAATGTGGTCTTAAAGTCGAAATCACCTTTCTTTTCTAACTTCATTATTTTAAGATAAAGATAATTTAAGGTTGACTACTTCGCCAATTAATATTTTACGAATTGTATGGGTTTATCTACTGGTTAAATACCATAAGATCATAACAAATAACTGCAAACTGCTAAGGATTATGTGGTACCTTTCGTTCTTATTATCTCGCCGATATGAGACAATTATCAATCTGCTTTTCTATCGAGGTTGATAGTACCAACGATTCACATCAAAATTAGTGACCCACCAGTTCACGCCGTCAACGTATGTGTGTATTATCTCCAAGGCCCCGGCTCACAGCCGAACGTATGTCTATGTAATTTGTAGTTAAAGATAACTCCAGAATTCCATGGCTGCAAAGACTGGAAAGCATATCGCTTGAGCCGTCTGGAAGTTCCCAGGGATTTATCCTCTCCTGGAGCTCGGAATATAGTTAATTGTATAACCGGATTATGTACTTGCTCTACGGATGAATTATATCACAAGTAGGGAACGGATATGTCATAATCATACACCCACAAATGTATGACTCCTTATTTGTATAGCATTGAGAATCGTGGCGCTATGTGACATTTCAAGAAAAGTTACTCACTAAGACAATTCAGCCGTTCGCTACACGTCTCATGATGCTTGCAGCATTTCATTGTTCGAGGGTTCAATCTTCGACAGACCCTCCTGACTTCGGTCTCTCATCCTGACCATTTCAAACTTCGTACATCCAGAACTGGCCGATACGACCACTCCTTTGTCGCTGTATCGAAATTTTAGAACAATCTACCTGAGGATTTTTGATATTTGTCGGGAAATATTCTCGTATGGCGAGACTCCAACATACATATGACAACCTGCAAGTGCTGCTGGATTTTCTGTCTTATTTAAATAATTTAATTTTGCCACAGATGACTGATGCCATGTCCGAATCTAAAAGAAATGTAGACAGTACAGTGTTGATTATTTGAAATTTGGCTTCATTCCATCATTGCCGGACAAACAATCGCCTATGTGCCTTTTATGCAATAAAGTTTTGGGCAATGACGCTATGAAACCATCTAAACTGAAAGATCATCTGAGAAGATGTCAGCCTGATAAAACAGAGAAAGATTTGAAATACTTTCAAACACTCAAAGATAAATTTCAGAAGAGACCTACACTGGACAGAATGTTCGCTTCGACGTCACAAAGAAATGATGATGGTTAGCGGGCGTCTTACAATATCTCGTTACTTATAGCAAAATCCGGAAAACCGCATACTATCGGAGAGAAGTTAATTTTGCCAGCCGTTGAAGAGGTTTTAAAAACTGTTTTACACAAACCTGCATCTGATATCATTAAAAGAATTTGAGTGTTAGATTGCATGAATCACTTCATTTAGTCATTGATGCAGTAAACCAAATCCGAAGCAACGCGTTGAATACGCGGTTATTTGCGCAGTTGTGTGAAGAAAATGACGAACACTTTCATCAATTACTCCTTCACACTGAAGTACGCTGGCTGTCGAAAGGCTTATGCTTGACAAGATTTTTTGCACTTTTTAAGACTATTTTAGAATTTCTGGATACTAAAGATAAAATTTTAAAAGAAAATTTAATGAAGAGGAAAACAGACATCGCCTATTTAGCAGATTTGTTTACAAAATTTAATATGGTTAATTTGCAATTACAAGGCGGCAGTTTAAATTTGATTAAAACAAAATCCATCTTATCAGCGTTCCTTGCCAGAGTTAAACTAATGAAGCAAAATATTGGACGGGGCGAATTTTCTCAGTTCCCCAATTTGTCACAGACAAGCTGCCAGGAAGACGACGTTTCAACTTACGTTCAACATTTAAATGCCCTCTATTCAGATTTTGAATCTAGGTTTGAGGATATTTTGACTATGGTAATACCACCGTGGATAATTAATCCATATGGTAACATAGAAGAAACGAATGTCATAATACAAGAGGAACTGAATGAACTAAGTACAAACGAAGAACTTAAGGTTCAGTTTAAAAACGGATATCAGCAATTCTGGCTGAAAAACAACATACCCGTTACTTATCCCGTATTATGCAATATAGCGAGAACATTTTTAATTTCCTTTCCATCGTCATATCTAGTGGAAAGGGGTTTCAGCGCTGTTACCAATCTCCTAACGAAAAAAAGAAACAGACTGGACATCATTAGCCGAGGAGATTTAAGATTAACTCTTACAAAATTGACGTCAAATATTGATAACTCATTATTAAAGCATCAGGTTCATCCTTCTCACTAAAAATATTGACTTATTGCTTATGTTATTTTATTTATAGTTTATTTTATGTTTATTGGTGTCTGACCAATAAATGCCCGCATTGGGAATGAGTGCCCGCATTGATTTATTAAAGAACCCCCCTTTATAGAAAATATTTGTTTTTTAATTATTCTGAAAATTCAAGGATAGGTACACACTAGAATTCGTTAATCTTTTGCCTATTTTTAGATAACTTAAACGTATTTTAATCAAACTAACAGTGAAATTATTGTAAAACATACGTTTATGTTATAATTAATAAACGATCTCGCTTATTGTACTATTTTAAGTAAAAAACTTTTTTTATTATTTTTCACTTTTTTTTATTTCATCCCTCTTATTTTTTTTTTCAATGCGGACACTTATTCCCAATGCGGGCACTTATTGGTCAGACACCTGTTTATTTAATGTTACGTATATTTTACATAACAGATACAAAATTTTATTTTGAGTAGTTTTAATTTATATTCAATTAATAAATGTATAAATTAACATATGTTTTTACTTTAAGTTTTTAACACTAAACTTCCCTACAGTTAGAAATTTACAGGAAATCAATATCAGGTAGGTAGGGGGTCTACCCAACACAGAAAAACATGGCAAGGGGTCTACGACACAAAAAAGTTTGGGGAACTCTGATCTAGCCATATAATCAAGCTTTTAAATTGAGGTTCTCCGTAACCGTGGCTCATTCCTTATGTACATCTAGTTAAGTCTACCACACACTCCCTCATTAATTTATGCCTTATACGCGTTTACGGAAAAGGCAGCAAACAATAAATCATAACGTGCCATGAATAACAGCTGAAAGTACATACAAACACATGTGACCTTGACCGAGAGCTAATGATTCGATATCACGTGTATTTTGTTCGAGGAGCGGGAATGCGTGATATCCAAATGGGCTTTCGCTATAGCGTGCTCTCATTAGAGGATTGAAAATGTGTTTATGAGTTTCATTGAGGAGATGATGTCACAGAGATTTCGAGCCTTTAGGTGGGAAACTTCCAATATGTCGCGAACGATGGAGGAAAGGATTCGATAGAAGACTGAGATAGATTAGACCATAACATAGTTACAAAAATTATTGTCATGTTCCTCTTTAAAAAAAACTTCCCGATAGAAATGTAGACTCCAAAAAGATGCTACTGACTGCGATGTAACTATATGGGAACTTACAGGGAGCTAAGCATGGTAAACGATACCTGAGACGTAGAGCATCAATTTTTTGCCATCCATGGCTGTATATACATTTATACATATACATATGGGGATTCATCGGCAACGAAGTAAACAAAAATGCTAGTGTTGAGGTGCGCTGCTATCTTTAAATGAGGAATGGTAGCTTCAAAATAGGCAAAATCTTCACATTCCCAGCATGGCAAAAGTATTTTTAGTAGTACACCATATTATAATCATAGACAAACGTTCGTATATACTTGCATATTTTAAATAGATTATTATAAGTATCTCTTTACTCGTTACTCTCAATTTTGTTAATTCATATAATATTTCTTACCGAAATATTGCAATCGGTTACAAAGATGTAGTTTTTTATCCTCTCATAAACTTTTATTTTCGAAAGAAATTGTGTTAGAAATTGCATCAATAGATAGAAGGACGTTACCGCTGAAACTGATTACAATCGATGAATTTGTCGCTTAATTAAAAGCACAGAACACATAAAAGAGAGCAGCTTATATTCAGAAACATCGATACTATCGATGTTTTCGATCCAATGTATCGAAACCATCGATGCTACGATGATAAAATTTATCGATGTCGAAACATCGAGGTTTTCTTAAAAATCACCATCCCTAGATGAGATACATAATTGCTTATGAGTTAAATAATCGTTTAAAGTAACAGGGACGGACTAGCCTAAACGTAATGCTGAATATTTCTTAATCCCTGTATAATAATGACTCAAAAGTAATATTTTTGGGAAGCTTGATCTTTTACCTGGAAGAAACGGACTCCCACAAGAATTCGATAAAATTAGTTGTTTCGCAAAATCGATTTGCACTGCAGTAAAAAGAAATTCCATTGGCCAGACTTCACCATTTGTAACACTACTTTACTTACGTATTTGTTACAATGTCGATTCAATTGAATTAAACTATCTCCAAAGAGATTGAAAACAACCTAATACTCGTAGAGATGCTGCTTTCTATCTTTGTCCGACTATAGAAAACTAACAATAGATAGCTGTTTCGGGCTTTTGGTCTTTGTCTCTGGGACAACGAAAGAAAGCATAGCAACCATCCTCCATACTACTACCCAAATAAGATAGCGCAAAACGCGATCTATTACCACATTCGACCACTGAGAGAGTTAATAGCAGCTATCAGTTGGTACTGTAAAGAACTCAGTTCGCGTTTGATAGTCCAGTCACTACTGTGACCGCTATAGGCTGACGATTCTGGCGGTATGGTAGTACAGCTGCTCCACGCTTTTCGGTAACTTTTCAGTATTGTCTAGGAATGCTTAGTTGTTCAATGAGAATAGACCACATCTATTATACCGCCAGAATAGTCAGCCTCTAGCGGTCAAAAAAATGTTACTTGAAACTTTTATCCACTTGTGTCTTCATTTATTCAGGGGTACTCTGCATACAAGCCCAACCTAATTACCTTTTCTTTGATACCAGTCATTCATTTTATACTTTAACAGAAGGGAAAAACAAAATACTGACCTGTCCAGTGATACCGCGACCAGACTGTAGACGGACGCCGCGACTGAAACGCCCTGTATGTACGGCACTGTCTTGCACATCCACCATCCTAGAATCCAAGCTGTAACAGAAAAATCCAGTCAGCCAAGGCACGTGGCGTGTGTAATTTGTTTTTAACCGCTCCGGTCTCCATCAATCACAGCAAGCCTTGATCCGAAATGCCAATATGGCCGCCACACGCTGCCTTGATTTCGCCCGCGCAAATTTTATATTAAACTGTGTTTGCCACGTCGTTAGGTCGCTAGCAAAAACGAAACATTCGCAAAGGTTAAGGGGTAAATAAGGATAAACTGATTCGGTACTATTGACGTTTATTTCAATACTTTCAGAGTCGAGTTTCTATTTTGAATACCATTCATTGGGCTGGTATTTAAATACTATTCGAATACATTTGTGTGTTTGGTATTTGGTATTCGACTGAATACTCTTTTGGTCACTACTCGGTATTTTGGATACTGAATACCGATTATTCCAATACCCACTTTATATTCGATATTGGAATCCTATATTGGCATCCTGTTTTCGGATACTTTTTCGCTGTTTTTATGAAAAACGCAAAATGTACCTTTTCGCAAAAAAAATTAAATAGTTACCCTGTGTATTTTTTCACTATCGGCAGGGGTATTATGTAAAAAACCTAAAAAAAAAGTAAAAAAACGACTAAATGAGGTCTTGCGGACTAGGTAGTTTTTAGTGTCCAAATAGTTCGTTCCACGTTCGCTCGATATGATCGCTGTTCGCTGACGTTTAGGCAACACGTAAAGCAGCTTGTGCTAGGTTAACAACTTCGAATCAATGTTTCTTTCACACTTTATATGCTCTACATTCGTCCTCGGATGGTTGAGACATCCTGTGCAGGTAGACTAGTTGGTCATCATCACGTATGTGTACATCCACCAGTTTTCAAACACATACCGCGCAAGTTAAAAATACGGTGAATGTCTCCATATAACATTCTATGATGAATCACACACATTCACCATTTTTAATAAAGAGTCGCAACGATCCATTGCTACTTTCACCATTTTAACTCATAATTTCACAGGTTCACATCTCTTTGATTACGTCCATGGGAAATCTCCGCTAAGTATCTCGGTGTCATTCCGGACAAAGAGACGACTCGTCGGAAGCGTTGCAAATCAAATTCCAAGCTACAGTTGGGCAGCTTCACTCATCACTGTGTAAACGTTCAGAAATTAGGTTTGATTAACAAGATTTGGCGCTATAACCCCAGTAATGACTTGTACATGCGCAGCTTGGTGTTTTATTGCCAAAAACAGCAGGATGAGCACTGTTACTGATTCCCAATCTCTAAGGAAACCCTTCACAGACACCTCAATATATTTTACCTAAGGGACCTCATGAAGCAAAAGCACAACAACCCTGTGTTGTTGTTGTTAGTGGACGACACAGTCGAGCAAGTTCGCAAGCACAAAGGGTCGCGGCTCGCACTGCAATCAAAATTAACTCGTGAATTTAGAACACCCAAAAAACCATTTCAAAGATCAAATTTTGAATCACATCAAAATTTTTCTAGTGATTTTAACAAAGATAGTCTTCCTCTTTGCCCTCTCCCCTCCTTCTCTCCTTTTCTTACCTTTTTTCTTTAACACTGTCTGGTTTCTACGTTAGGGAAGCTAACAGGCTATGACAGAAGAGCTAAGGTTCTACAGGCCGCGCCGAAAACCAACGACTGCACTCGATCTGCTAACGTGTGGGAAGCCAGAAAAGGAAATCCTCTTTGACATTACAGAATGAAGAAAATAAAACTTCAAATAAATCTCCCACCATTTTCCAATCAAAATGCTCCGGTTATTGGTCGAATAAATCATATCGTTGCTTCACGCTGCGATCCGTAACCGCCCACGTGCACATGCTTTCCCGCTTTTCCGGGATGCATTTCCCACGTTTTCACCGAACGTACGACCGCGCAAGAATGCGATGATGTATGGGTGCATTCAACAGGGTCCCTATTCAAGGACTGAATTATAATAGGTGCATAACTTTTTATCTGCCTTGCGTCCAAATGAATAATGCACCTTAACGATATGGTCATTGTATGGGCCAGTTTGGCTGACTTGATCCGTCTAATTTCTACGTTGTGCGTGTTCGTTACTGGTAAAAAACTAGTAATCCGTGGCTGGTGACATCGAATTCGGAATCTACGCACCCGATTTACCTAGAAAACAAGCTTCTACCATAGCGTCACAGTTTTTGGAGATTTTTTTATTAATCATAAATTGACAAAGTAGAATTCTTGTCAGTATTTCGAAAACGAGGCATTTCCCGACTGAATGGGCACCGGATCTGGTTTCGGCGACTCAAAAAACGTTTTATAAGAATGCTTGGGCTCACATGCCCAACTGACCCGTTTTGTGCCTTTTTGTAACAATACCTCAATAATATAGGGTGTTTCAATAACGGCGCCGGATTTTATTTCCAAAAAAACACAATTTTTGACAAAATATCACTTTTTATGAAATTAACTTTTTATAAAAAATGTGTACTTTTTCCCGAATATTGTCTATTTTTAAATCAAATCACAAAATTAAATTGACAACTATTTGATTACTTTAAAAGTTTCCTTAGCAACGCAGGTCTAATTGTCGCTATAAGTACACATAGCCTACTAATTTCAAATTTCACATTTATAGTTTTCTCACTTATTGTAATATACGGTGCTTTTCTTTAATGTCCCCATCCCCTTTGATTTTATGAACGAATCGATTCAAAAAATTAAAACTTGAAGTAATGAGATTGATGCGTGGCTGTTTGTTGTTTACACTACCAGTAGCTGTAAATTTAGATACATGTTGCCTTATATATTTTCTACAGATATTACGATTCCGGAAACGATCATTAAAAACCTTTTCGGTCTCGTGAAAGTTACGCGTCGCACCATAAACAAAAATCGCCTCGATTTTTTTCTTCCAGTGGACGAGAATTGACCATTTTAAAAATAGTACAAACAGTATTTAGCACTAAAACCGAAAACTAAATAAGAATATTTTAACTGTACAATGATAGGCAGCAGCGGTGGCTGCAGTAGTAGACTCTTCGTCTCCTGATCAGGCGCCGTACGCTGTGCGGGTTCGAATCTCGTCCCAGGAGAAATTTTTCTCTTGGCTATGGATGTTGTGATTGTCCGTAGGTGGTAGACGGTCTCTCACTGTCGAACGTGGAGGTACCACCCGGCGGATCTCGTAGGCGGAGCCAGAATGTGTGCATGTTGCATGCACACGTGTTTCCTCGCCAGAGTCCGTGTGGCGTTCCCCCTTTCCCCTGTATCCCCCTATAGCCCCACGGTACCAATGAGTGTTTAGGCCTTAGGCCTTCGTGGTAGTTGGAGCATAAAAAAAAGAACTGTTAATGCGGATTGGTATACCACCATTTGTTTGCCAAAAGTCATCACCGAGCTTCGAAAAATCAACCCCGAAAGAAGAATCATCCTCCACCAAGACAATGCAAGCTCGCACACAGCCCATAAAACAAGGCAGTATTTAACGGAAGAAAACGTGGAATTATTGGACCATCCTCCATATAGTCCTGATCAAAGTCCAAACGATTTCTTTACTTTCCCGAAAATTAAAAACAGACTGCGAGGTCAAAGGTTTTAGTCACCAGAAGAAGCAGTTGACGCATTCAAAATGCCGTTTTGGATCTGTCAGTAAACGAGTGGAATAAGTGCTTCGAAAATTGGTTCGAGCGCATGCAGATGTGTATTAATCTTCGTGGAGAATACTTCGAAAAACAATAAAGTCATTTAAAACTACCTACCGTGTTTTCCATATGCAAAACTTAAAACACATCCCTCGTATAGTATTGAAGAGTTCTGTGCTCTAGTGAAACCGTAAGTATCAATATCGCTGTGTTATATGTTGTCTATTTATGTTTGTTTTTGTATGTACTATAAAAAAATTATATGTTATTTACACTGTATCACAATGACGTGTTATCTCTGTTACAAATTTCTTTTGTTTATAACTGAGAAACCAATAAATTTCTATTCTATTCTATGCTATACACCTTTTCCTTCATATAGCCTCAGAGGAAGAAGTCCATTGGCGTTAGATTGCACGATCTTGGTGGCCAATTTTTATCGCCAAACCGAAAGATGACACGGTCTGGTAACTTGGTCCGCAGTAACACTATTGATGGCGGCTATTTATATGGTACTAGAGATTGAAATGCTTTAAATGCGGTTCAAATGTATGTATCTTAGGTCGCCAAAACAAAAAAGTCATTTCTGTACCTCATGTAGATCTGGTTATGAACTAATGACAGCGTGGCATAGGAAGTAAGGATTCAACCTACTTGATGCCATTTTTGAGGCAGTCGGGTAATAAACCGTTCCTTTGAACAAGAAAGAGATTACAACTTGTCTCGAATATGATAAACTAGCGCCGCTATTAATTCTCAAAATTGCTGCGTCCCAGTTTGATGCATGTTTTGATATTGCCCTTCATCGGCAAAACCGTCGTCAGCTGGCAAACCCTTGAACTTTGTCGTGAAATATTAAATTTTCGATATTAATTTTTAATAAAAGAAGTTTGTCCCCGGTTCTATTCTGAGGAACATAACGATCATGACTTGCACTTCCCGATTTTGTTTGGAACTCATATGACATTTTGCAATAACGACGCTGTTTACTACTTGGATATGTGAGTGCGTTTTTAAAAACGAAAGATATAGATCAGGCTGACTAGCTAAAAATGAACAAAAAATTATAAAATGGGGGCTCACAATAAAAAAGAGTCCTTCTTCTAGAAATTTTGTGAAATGTGAGCAAAGAATTATGACTGAGTATGCTTGTTTGTGGAACAACGAACATGTGTGCACGTTTAGTGTCATATGCAGGAAGTAACTCTCAGACATAAGATCGCCTAACATCAACAGAGCTTCTGGTTACGACTAGATTATGTCGTTGTATTGAAGAGGTATGCAGCAGAGCTTGCTCCAGTTCTTTCGCGTCTCTTCCGGACCATGTCCAACGAAAGACTTCGATCAGCTGTGGAATGCTGCCCTTTTATGCAATCTTCCATTATATGGCCTCCCAGAAAA